GAATTTTAATTAGTATAAGAATTCTATAAAATGTAATGTCTGTTCTATCTTGGAACACATTATTTAATTGCTGAAAACTTTTTTTTAAGATTTAAAAAAGAATTCATAAAAAGTAACTTTTAATCTGTTAGATAATTTTTATCATGAAAAGAATAAATTTGAGTTGAGATTTGAGTTTGATAGTAGTTTTCAGTTATTTGGAAAGGTTTTTTAAAAATATTTTTAAATACAATTATTTCTTACCAGCATACCAAAGCACTGGATAAGAGAAAGTTAAGTTTTATTGTCCTAAAAGCATGTGGAAGATTGGCTTAACTGTAGTTGTAGTCCATGGTACAGTAGTCCGTGTGGAGCGTGGGCAGCAGTCTAGGATGAGCCCAGCTTTCTGGCCTGGGCAACTACGTAGAGAGTTGTAATTTTTTCTGATAATGGAGAGAGGTTGGGTTATCTCTGAACTTAGTGATCAAGAGACTGGGTTTAGATTTAAGAAACAACACTAGTGGCAATAAAGTGTTGGAAACAAATGTTCCTGCCCAGCGTTACCATCTGATGTGGTATGAGGGAAGAGGGGCGTGGTGGATTTAGCAGATGACACTTAGGAGAACTGACTCAATATGGCAGGATAACCAAAACAATATCAAAAACAGAGAGGTGGACAGTATCAGAGGCTTAAATGAATCTGCTGAATTACATCTTTTCCAGTCCAGAATGACATTCACTTCAGAGGTGTCATTGTATCTGGTTGAAAAATAAAAGGTTGAGATATATGGATAGCAATTGTATGCTATTCTTAAAGGGATTTACTGGGTTTTTGAAATTTTTTAATAATAAAGTTATGAAAATATAGGGAGAATTTTTATTTGTTTGCTGTTTATTTTTGTACTAAAGTAGAAGGGCCTTTCCCACTAGCGTGTAGCAAAATAGCCAGTAGAGAATTTGAAAGTAGCATTTGAAAGAACTTTAAGAACATCCTTCCAGGAACCAGTGGAAGTATTAATATTGAACAGAAGCACTTCTTCTGACAGAAGAAAGACAAGGAAAGAAAGAAAGAAAGAAAAAGAAAGAAAAAGAAAGAGAGACAGAGAGATGAGGGTAGTTTATGGAAGAGTCATATCAGTACTCTTCGAACTACCAGACGTTGGTAGCTCTCAGGGGCTCAGAAAATCGTGATTAAATATTACAAAATAAAACTTAGTAGTGACTGCGTTAAGTTGGAGTTGTGGTTCAGTTAAGGTAAGCTGGTGCGGGGTGAGCTTTCCTGGCATTTCACCGCTCACTGTAAGGCTTCTCTTGAGCAGTTCCTTCCTAGCCCCTCCCTTTCCTTCACTCATAAGAGAAAACATCTCAGAGCCTGCAGATAGTATTTGAACTTCTCCTAAGGGTACCATCACCTGGTCACGTTTCAGATTTTACTAACCTAAAAATCATGGCGGTATGAGCTACCCTCAGAACTTATATAATGAGAATGTAAAAGATACTTGACGTAGATAATTTCGATCTCACTTTAGCTCAAACTTTCTGTTTAAAAAAACAAAAACTTTCTGTTTAATTTGCTCTTTAATCCTCAGATTTTTATGATAGATACATGATTTGTAATAAAACATTGCTTGAGTATTTTTAGGTTATTTTTGCTACCAAAACTGTCTTCAAATTAAAATGCTATCTGCATTATTGTTTAAATTTGGTAGAAATAATTGCCAGCATCTGGGGAAAGAAAATGAATTTGTGAACTTTTAGGAATACTAACAGCAGGAGCATCTTTTCGGTTACAATTGAAAATCAAAGGTCACCTAAAGTAATTAGACTTTTAAATATCTACATATAGAAATGTTTTCCCTCTCCCAAACCTTTTAAATTTTAACTAATTACTAAAAGAGAAACTAATTATTAGCAGGCTTAGTTTTTGCATTCAATTTTATGTTAGGGACAGTGAGGTTTCTAACATGAAAATTAAGCCACTCCTAGAGAATTACTGTTTGCATATTTTGCATAAAGCTGCTTATACCCTAGAAGAGTAGGCAAAACAGTTTTGTGATTAACTTGGCAGAAGTTCTAGGTAAATTTTTTTTCCCTATTAATAGTTTCATTGACGTCTTATGCTTTTAGCTTTCTCCAATATGGAGGTACTAAACTGACTTTGGCAGACTGTGGTTTTTGCATGAAGCAAGCCTAAAAGTGGGTTGTGAAAAAAGGGTAGATTGGTATAGAGTAGGCTATCTTAGCCAACCTTTCTGTTGTTGTAAAATTGTTAAGCAATTCTTTTCCACAGCATATATTTCAAAAATAGATATTGCTTCACTCGGTTTAATGGTCATTATTGTTTTTATTACTCTAAATGAAGTGATAAATCTATGTAAGCTAACTTTGAAAATTATTTAAATTCTAATGTGAAATCAGTACTAATAATGATAATTGACAGTTATCTCAAACCTTGGAAATTGAATTGTCTGCTCTGTTAAGTTCCTACTGATTACTTCATGCACATTTGAACAATCTCCAAAGAAAGTTGTCAAGAAAGAGCAGAATTATAAAAATGCTTAAGAAGAACATGTAACTATAATTCTTTTTCCAAACAACATCTTATGTAATAAGACTGGCAAGTCTTTCTATTTGAGTAGAGACATTTAAGTATCTTATTCTAGCTTTGCTGGTATTTTTGTATGTCTTAGTACAGGTACATTCCTGAAAAGATAGACTACAAGAGGCATAGCATGGGGGGCATAGTCCAAAACCATATATAGATACAGATATAGATTCATATCCCCACTGTATACCTGTTCATTTGCACCAGATTTTAAAATGCATTGTCTGACATACAGGAAAAAAAGTTTTCCGGAACACAGAAGTAAAACTGACAATTTAAAAAAAAAAGGGGAATTACTTAAGTGATAAATGTGTCCTTTAGTATCTAGTACTTCCATTTAAAAGCACAGAAGCCTGAAAGATTTATTGTATCATCATCATACATTTGCCTAATTATCTTCTGGATGGTGTTAATAATAATAGCCAATACTTACATAGCACTTATTTGTATGGGACTTAATGTGTTACCTTTGTCTGTGTAGTCTATTTAGTAACTCCTCTCTCTCCCTCTCCCTCTCTCCCTTTCTCCCTTCCCTCTTTTCTTCCCACTTCCCTCAACCCTCCCTTCCCCCTCCCCCCCTCCTCTGTCTCTGTCTCTCTGTCTCTCTCTCTGTCTCCCTTTCCCTCTTCCTCTGCCCCTCCCAGTGCTGGGGACCAAATCCAGCAGGTGAGGGCACTAACACTGAACCATACCCGTAGCCCTGTTTAGTCTGTTTCTTATTTAATACGTTATTTAGTGCGTGAAAGTGAAATTGTAAATAGCACTTGATAATACTAGTTCATTTTTATTTGCACATTCTCTGTGTAGCATAGATATTATTGTTATTATCTCCATTTAAAGATGGGTAGTAAATCTCAAAGGCACTGATTTTGTTATAGTAGTAGTATATTAATACAGTCAACACTAATTTTGTTCAGCATTTAATAATGGATACAGACCACTTCTCACTACTTTTAAAATTACTTTGTTTTATAAAGTAATACCATAGTGCTTGCTTCGGCAGCACATATACTAAAATTGGAACGATACAGAAAAGATTAGCATGGCTTCTGCGCAAGGATGACACACAAATTTGTGAAGCATTCCATGTTAAAAAAAAAAATGATATCATAACAGTTTGTGTACTCCAGAACTATATATGACCTTAATTGACTTTTCTACTGACTCTGTTAAAAGCTCCTTATTCCCGAATAAAATGGTAGTCTTAAGATGCATTGCTTACTACTACTATTAGAAAGAAGGGGCATGTACAAACACGTAAACAATGAATCAGATAAAGGATATGTGACCACAAACCATGAACTGCTCTGTACAAAACACTGATAAGGAGTTTTTAAATACTAATGCAATGGAAGTTCTCTGTGGAATTTTGATTATCTAGGCAGAAATAAATAAAAAGGAAAAGAGCTATTTCCTTTCTTTTTTGTTTTCTTTTTTTTTTTAAGACAGGGACTTGCTGTGTAGCTCAGCAAATAGCAAAGGAGCCACTTTCATGTACTAACTTATATGCCATAAATTATGTCATTCTGTTAATTCACAAACTACATATTTACAGTGAATTTCAAAAATTAGACTTTTTAAGTTTTTAAAAATAATCACATTTTATGATTTTTAAATTAAAAATGAATGTTTTATTAATAATGAACAGACTAGATTTTTCCTGAAATTAACTCTTTCAAGAACTTAATAATAAGTATTTCAAAGTCTTTAGTGAAGTGTTCTGTTTTTTGTGGGTTTGTTTTTTTTTTTCTGTACCTTTATTTAAAATGTACTTGTTACGTATTACATTTTAGTGAGACCATCAGACTCAGGCAATCATAGTGTTGTAAACCACTATATTTACTTAGAGAAATTCTGCTGTGTCATTTTTTTACAATCATGCTGTTTTTAGACAGTCTTAACAATACCGTTTTTACCACAGTCGAAGCTATTTCACTTGGCAAGTTAGGTTACAGCTGTGTTATGTATGTCACCATGATTTATATAAACATAGAGGTAAAGGTGTTTTCTATACAGTCTTTAAAAAGAAAGTACCTACTTCACTAAAATGCCAGAGATATGTGGGTATGAAACATTTTAATTCTTCCTTACTTAAAAGTAGTCAAAGGATCACTCATACTTTTTGAATATTTTGCAGTATTTAGGACCACTCTATTTTAAATTATTAATTCCATGATAAATAAACTGTAAAAGGCTAATTTACTGTCACATACTTTAGCTTTCATTACCACTATATTCCTTCTTCAACAAGAAAAAAATTGTATTTTGTAAACCGTAAAACATAGCCATATAAATCATGACTCCTTTTGACCTATCATGTGCCCTGGTTTTAGTAAGCAAACATTTTTCATCCAGATTTTGCATCAGTAGCCCAGGAAATTACACTGCACTTTCTGATTTGCCTCTTCTATTGCAGGGCAACAAAAATCTCACGCTTACTTCATCAGCTCCATCCTCCTCACAGCACTCTAGGTTACAGCAGTCAAACATCCTGACCACTGGTGAGATGCGACATCTGTTTGGTTTCACTCAGACCGGTGAGCTCCTTTTTTCCTGTACCTGTTCTTTTAAATGTTCAGATGCTTCTTTTTTTAATGAATACAGTTACTTCTCTTCAGAAATAAAAATTCATAGCATTCTAATAGCCAGTTTTTACACTCGATGAATTCAATCATCTCATTTTTTTCCTTAATATCACAAAAGTTATTTAAAATGCAAACAGTAAACTTAGATTTGGTCACTTTAGCAGTAGATACTCTGAATCTGTGCTCTATTAAACAGATAATTTGAAAGTCAAAAAATGTGAGTTTTAAATGTGAATAATGTTAAATCTATTTCCCAACTGGATAAAGGGATCATAGTTCATGGATAATCCTGTTTCCATTTTTAAGAATGCTAAGGTTAAATGCATTTTGGATGCAGCCTTCAGTAATAAATAGCACATCTCTTCAGTGTTGGCAAATTAATAAAATGTATGAAAAAGCTAGTTACAAAACTAAATCACTGAGTTTCACTATCCAATTGTAAATGTTAGGAGGCTGGTTTTAAATTAATTTGAATAAGGTTTTCAAAGGCTGTCAAAAAAAAGTAAGTGAGAAATGTTTATTTTTATAGTGAAAGATAATATTATTGTAATGGCTATATATTTTGACAGTATTTTTCCTATGGTTGAATCCTTTAAAAAAAAGTGATATGGCTGAATATAAACCAATATCTTTGACAAAGAGATTATAATGAGAAATCTGAATTTGAAAATATCAACATAATTTAGTTAGAAATTTGGGTACATTATCACTTCTGACTTGTAAAGTATTTGGAATTTACACATACTAGTTATTTTAATTACTGTTTAGGTTTCATATTATAATGAGAAAATACTTGCATTCAGAACTCTTACAGTAGTCCTGGCTGTGTCATTTATTATGTCTGTGAACCTTAGGCTCTTCATTCGAAGGCTGGAAATGATGTTTGTACTCATTATACATTGTTAAAGTTCAAATTACATAATGTATGTAAAACATTAAGCATAGGTATGTGATTATAATATATTTACATTTGTAAACATGGCGAATATGTGTAAGCGAAGTTTGAAAATACTTCGGGTTATAATTTCAAGCCACTAAAATAATTATCTCAAATCTTAGAAACATATTTCTCGTGTTCCAGATATTTACTAAAAGTTAAAGCAATAGTGCTAATCATTTTGATTTACAGTGGAGGTGTTCTGTGTATCACCCATTTAGACTCTTACTTTTTGCACCATTAACAGATACTTGGTTTGCCTTTAGACTTTGTTCTTTGAGTGACTAGGAGAGAGGAAACTTCTCTCCGTCATCAATTCCAACTATCTTTCTGCTGAGGTCAAAATTTTTCTGGAAACAAGAAGACTAAACAGCTGGATATGATAAGAGCAAGCTTTGCAAACTTCACAGGCACACATAGGCACAGTTCCATCTCCCTTCGGCTTCCATGGCCGTGTCGGTCATGGGTGGGGTATCCATATCATGGATGTCCATCCACATATGGGCTGTCTCAGCCATCTCATACATGCTAACACAGCTTCACCTGATCTTGTTTTTGGTTACTAGTATTCCTGGCCTCATTTTAAACTACATCCTTCATAGAAAGTTTATTGAAGCATCACTGTATAGAAAATTTTAAAAATTAGAAGATATGTTTGATTTATGGCAGATAATCCAGTTTCTTCATTAAAAAGCTAGTCTTTGTACAAATCCTATACTAGGAAGCAGATGAGTAGTGCCTAGACCTACCCCCATTTCTAAAGGACTATAGAGGCTTGAAAAATTTCTTCAGGCTTCAGTTTTCTCATCCCTAGAGCTAAATGAGGACTCTGGATTGAATTTCTGTCTTTAAAATTCTGTGATTTTACTCAGTGTTAAAATCAGCTTTAAAAGTGGATAATAAATACTCTTGATCATACTAATCTATTAGTCTGAAATGTAAGGCTGCAAAAACAAATAATGTAGATAGAGTGTTCAAATATAAAAGTCTTACTGAAAACCTATATGAAATACTGAAGTCATACAGTGTTTGTACAGTATAACGAAAAGCTGTTCACACAGAGCTAGTAAGAATGGCTCACCAACACTCATACTGGAAGGTTTAAGTCTGGAACAAGGAAAGCCAGACTCTGAATTGAGTTTATATTCTGCTATAACTTTTTTTTCCCCTTTTTTAAAAATTTATTTTAAAAATAAAAGAAGGAAAAGATAATAACAAATAGATACCCACTTACAAAATAGCCTAAGAACAATACAAGCAATACTAAATTACAGACAAAGTGGTAGGAAATTAACAATGGTTGTTGTATTATGTATTGATAACTTCAAAGTGGTTTCTCAGGAAAAACAAATAGAGACATGCAAGATTGATCAAATAAGTAATCATTAACTGTTCCTTTCAGTAAAGCGATAGAAGTCAGTAGTACAACTATGTTAGCTATCCTGTATATACATACATACATAATTTCCCCTTCTTTCTTTTCTCTTTTCCCTTATCCCAGTTGCTCTTTACTTTTGAGCAGTTTCCTTTCCTTTCACAATGTCTGTCATACCTCCTAATTTTTATTCACTCTTTTAGCTTCTTACACTAGTGAGACAATATGTTGCTTACACTGGAGGTCTGATTTATTTCACTTATGAGTATGGTCTCTAGTTGTGACCATTTACCTGTAAAAGCCTCGAGTTTATCTTTCTTTATAGCTGAGTAATATTCCATTATATAAAAATACCACAATTTTCTTATCCAATCCTCAGTGGATGGACATTTGGGTTGCTTCCACAATTTAGCAATTACAAATTGTGCTGCTGTGAACATGGGTGCACATATATCGCTGTGATACAATGTTTTCAGATCTTCTGGGAAAATACCCGGAAGGGGAATAGCTGGGTTGAGTGGGACCTCTAGACCTAGTTTTCTGAGGAATTTCCAAACTGATTTCCACAGTGGTTTCACCAGTCTGCATTCCCACCAGCAGTGGAGAAGGGTTCCTATTTCTCCACAGCCTCGCCAGCATTTGTTATTGGTTGATTTCTTAATGCTAGCCATTCTTACTGGGGTAGGGTGGAATCTCAATGTTGTTTTAATTTGCATTTCTCAAATGACCAAGGATGTTGAACATTGTCTCATGTATTTATTTACCATTTGTGTTTCTTTACCTGAAAAGTGTATATTCATCTCAGCTGCCTATTTTTGGATTGGGTCTTTGAATTTGGGGATGCTGGTGTTTTTTAATTCTTTATATGTTCTAGATAGAAGACCTTTGTCCGAGGGACAGTCAGCTAAAATTTTTTCCCAATTTGTGGGTTTTCTTTTTACTCTGCTGGTGATTTCTTTAGATGTGCAGAAACTTTCCAGTAGGATGAGATCCCAGTTGTTTTTTCTCTTTTTGAAACAAGGTCTCACTATGCAGTTTAGGCTGGCCCTGAGCTCACTTTCTAGCCCAGGCTGGCCTCGAACTCACAACGATCCTCCTGCCTCAGCCTCCTGAGTGCTGGGATTACAGGTGTGAGCCACCACACCCAATCTCTGCTATAACTTCTATTGACATTATTTAGTCCAGGAAAGGTCTTGGTCAGTGATGGTGAACCTTTTAGAGGTGAGTGCCCAAACTGCAACCCAAAACCCAATTATTTATCACAGAGTGCCAACATTGCATTTAAACTTGAATGCTCAGCTGCTGGGTTGATGCTGGGGCAGCTTGGCTCTCACACCAACAGAGAGGGCTCTTTGTGCCCACTGCAGCACATATACTACAGGTTCTCCAGCACTAGTCTAGGGAACTGGGACTGCTAAAAAAGTAAACAGTTTTTCTTCGTTGGTTTGTATTTCTCAGAGTTGCTACAGTACTACCTATTCATTCTAAAGTCATTTTAAGTGACTACTTTAAGTCCCTCCCTTAGGGGTATGGACTAAGTACTGCCTGCCTTCAAGAAGCTTTATGGACAGGCTGGGGAGACAGGTAAGTACACAGCAAATCAAATCAGTGTAATAAATTCTGAAATCACAATATGAGCAGTGTCACAGGAATAAAAGGTGAATAGCTAAGAAGTTTCTCAAACTACATATGCAAAGAGAACTCTGACTCCCTGCCCCTGCACACCCTGCCGTTATCTCTATTTCCCTTACCGTGTACCAAGTTTGTGTGATCCCAGCATTCCCATTCTTTCTAAAAAACTAAAAGCCATACTTTTTAAAAAAGGAAAACTTTTTATTTGCTAATAAAAAAATGGTTTTTTTTCAGGAGTTTTGTTTCACATCTTTTACTATTAGTACATATTCGTTACACAGATTAAAGAATTTTGTTTTTTTATACATGCATCTAACATATTTTGAGTATTTTTTACCAGTACCAACCCCCTATTACTCTCCTTGATTTCTGTCTTTCCCTTCACTTCCCACCTTTTCACTTGCCCAGGCCATGGTCCGACCTTCATCCCGATTTCCCCACTGCAGTGATTTCTGTACCTACTTTAATTACCCTAAATAAAATCTTCCTTTCCATGCTTTAACAAGTATCTTGAATAGTTATTTTTCCTTCACAGCACTTAGAAGGGAGTCTGATCTGACTGAGGAGTGATTTGAGCCTTGGGGGTAGCTGGAAATGATAGAATAGGACATGTTTTGGGAGAACTGGATCTGCAAGGCTAGACTGAGGGCAAACTTGGGCCATATTGAAGAATTCACATTTTAATCTCTATGTACAATAGAGTTACCCAAGGTATCAGTATGAAAGAGGTATGATTAAGTAGTTTTTAAAAAAAATACTCTGGCCTGATGTAGTGGCCCACATCTGTAATCCCAGCACTTGGGAGGCTGAGACAGGAGGATTACTGTCAGTTTGAGAACAACCTGAGCTACATAATGAGTTCAAGTCCCTAAACTACATAGCGAGACCCTGTTTTTTTAAAAAAAAAAAAATCTCTGATATGTGTGTGAGATAAGCTAGAGAGGACAGAGGCTATTTACAGCTCTTATGAAGTACTTCTTTTAGGGACTGTTCATTAGGCTGTTACTC